ACTAAATTTTCTGAGTTACCTTACTAACACATCAGACATTTCCAAGATAAAAAGAAATCATTGCAAAAAGGGCTTTTATGAATGTTCCCCGGCGTGTCACCCCCACAAAGATTTTGTAAGTCGATAGTGAGTCATCAAAGCTTCTGTTCCTATACTGCACACAGTAGGGCTGGTCGATATTTCACTTTTTTAATAGAAAATCAACATTGCATTTGGTGTGAAAAATGGGGTTTGATGTGATAAGTACTGCTACCAAGAATTAGATTTTACCAATTTCTGAGCATCTAGTTTTAAATATCGTCTGAAAAAATGTACAAAAATACTTAATTTCCGCAGGTTTCTGCTTACAAACTGGCTTTTACTATTTCAAGAATAAATCCAAATAAAGTTGACATCTTTTCTATTAGATACATTGAATGGAAAATATATTTAAACCAGAATTCTAATTATGAATCACCACAAACAAAACATACAATTGTTTCGCTACATTCGATAAGTAAAAACTTGTAAAAGATTACCAGAAAGGCTACTCAATGAAGAAGGTTTCAGAGATCGTTTGTTAGATCATATTTAATAAAAAAAGATAAAAAAAAGTTTATATAAAACCATAAAACTGATGGGCACAAATTAGGAAACAAAATGTTTTAAATTTGCATTGTTTATTGAAAATTACATTAAAGCTACGGCACTGTATAACATATTACATCATATTATAGCTAAATTGTTCAGAATAATTTCCTTTTGCAGTAAATGAAGGTCTTATTTGATGGCACAATGATTTAGTAATAATGTTCATGTGTCTTGCATCTTTTCCATATACAATTTGAAAAGCTTCAGTAAATTATAAATTTTATAAGGATGTCCTATAAGATTTTCATTGATCACCGGAATGAAATTCCAATGCTACAATTTTGAACCTAAACATATTTTTAAAAATCGTCCCCTCAAAAAAGTGTAACAGTTTTGCCAAAAATATTTCATGTCTTTATTTATCATGACAAACCCCAATTTTCGAACTGAGTGCAATACAATGACTGCAAACTATACCTTAATTACTGCACAGATCGTTGAATTTCAATAGCAGCATGATTTTGACGCGTCTTATTCGTTGCTCACATCTCAGACTGTCCATTTTCCAGATAACCATATATTACTTACCATTCCTTCTGGCATAATCTGTTCTTCTCGCTTTACTTGGTTTTATTATTTTGTTTTTAATCGAGTTCGCCCCAAGCAAGGCAGTAAAGGCACAGATATCGTGGATTTATGGAGTGTCGAAGAGTTAGAAACAGGAACATTGCCAAGGAGAGAGAGAAGAGGGAAAGTAATCAGGAGGACAGCAGATAGCGATTGGCATTGAATTTAAATGTTTTCAGATCAAAGTTTACTGGAAATCATGGCGCCGGATAGGTGCACCACAAGCGAGAAGTGCGAGAAAAGAAATTCTCTGCATAGAATCCACAGTTACATCCAGCCAACTCAACCATAAACTGGTGAGATCTTGTCGCCAGTTTAGCACCACGCTTAATTTCGAAGTCTAGGCACCATAGTGAAGATATCATCTGAACAATTACCATGAAAGTATTTATAGAAATGCAAGGAGGGTGACCTTACGGCGGGGAGAAAATGACCGAGGCCGAGATGCTAGATCGAGGCCAATAATATTGCTGATACTTCTTTGAATAATATCAAGGAGTTCTAGATATAGAGGAGGAACACTGGAGCCACATGTGGTAGAAACATTCCAAGAATGGACGAATGGTAGACTTATAGATATGAAAGATAGATTCTGGAGATAAAAACCATCTAGCACGACACAGTGAGCCAACCTTGCTGGCAGCTGACCTTTCCACTTCATGCCAGTATTTACATTGTCTTAGAGTTCTGTCAAAAATCCTTCTGATTCTACCATCAACAAAGTGTCATCCGCGTAACTTAAATTGTTAAGATTATGTCTGCTCGTATACAATCTCAGTAGGTCTTTTCGTTGAAATATTAGAATGGCTGAAGTACTTTTAAAATCCCTACAATCACCAATGGTACGAGTTAATGGCGCCCGCATACTAAAAAATCATCATACAAAAGAGACTGTTATATAAAGATCGGACTCTACTCGCAAAAGAACTGTATTTTTTAAAGTTTTTAATTTATTTTTAATCAATTAACCCCAAGTAAGGTGATAATGTTACTAAGACGCAAGGGGCTACTGCTAGTGAAAGAGAATGAGAAGTCTTTCAAAGGAACCGGAAACCCAATCCTAAACAGAAAACAAGCGGTAAACCTTTACTCCTTTTCAAAAGATCGGGAGGAGTGTGAACTGGACGATAGACGGACCGAAGCCCAAACAGATCGCCTACAACTATTCCACTGGTACAAGTATTGGCAAAAGCCAAGATTATTTATTTTGAAAGTTATTCGCATTAATTTGATTTTTTAAAGCCATGTCCTTTTACGCCATGTTCAATCGTATCTCTTCATTGATTCCAGTTCTTTAATAAATGTGAATCGCCATTAACTCTTGGGAAAGACAGTGCAATAATTCCCTGTTGCCTTCTATGTACTATGAAGAAGAGACGAATTTATAGTTTTCCAAATGGCGTTTGTGCGAAAATGAACACAACAGAGTTGAGACCTGAATTCGAACAAGGCACGCTGATTGCCAAAATGTCTCCGTCGAAAATCGTTACGCTTCTCGTTACCTATCCCCGTAATCTACTCTTACCTCCCCCGATTACGTCCATACAAAAACCTTTAGTAATCCTCTACTTTGAGTGGCTCTTGCGTCAGGCAAATATTTAGTAAAGAAAGAACTCTCTTCTTCGTCTCTAATGTTTTACACGGTATTGTATTTCTCTGTATGGTGCAGTGATTTTTGAATCACCAGGAGAAACATTCCTTTCTTTGTATTTCTGTCCCCAAAACGGTGCCATCTTTTCTCTTTCCTTTTCCCAATTATCTTTGTCTCTCAAAAATTCTTCAGTTCTGCCTCTCTTGTGTCTACAAAACACGAGCTTTCACGTCGCCACACTCATATAAACTGCACTTGAGGTGTGCAACGTCGGACGTTTGTCCATGGAAATTACCTTAAAGGTGCATTTTCTCATCGGTTTAATAAACTGAACACGAAAATGTCATTATTTCTAGATTAATTATCCAAATCTTCGAAATTATTACCCATTTATGTGCGTAAAACAGATTATATATATATATATATATATATATATATATATATATATATATATATATATATACTTCTTAACGTTTTGTAAACAGAATTTGATGCTTGATAAGCGCAATTTACATGGTCGGTAGCATTATGTAAATTCGATTGGCTGTATGTACTAATGAATGATTATCTATAGGTCGAAGGAAGAAGAGATTGCAATTGAAATGTCCATATATGCGAAGGTTTGGTTTTGCTATCTCAACTATAATGGAACATAATTCAAGAGACTTGCTCCCGATTGTAATCACCTATATTGATGGAGATAAAGCACGTTCAAAATTACGAACTTTCATCGATTTTTCCTAAAGTCTCAGTTGATTAGTCTCTTGTTTTTAGTATTTAACAAAACTAGAGGAAATCAAATGAGATTAATAATCTATACATTAGGAGTTTACTTAATGCCATATTCTTTCGTATGATAAACAATAAAAATATAAACGTAGGTCGAGTTTATAGATAGGTCAAAATTGTAGACATATGTTTGGTTTTCCCAAGTGACAAAAAGGTAAACATATATTTGGTTTGAGTGACAAAACAGTATATTTAGGCTTGGTTTGTAGGAGTCGAAAATTACTCCGTGAGAAAATCTAACAGTTTTATGGTTCTTCGGAGATCAAATTTTTAGTCCGAAGATTTCACAGAAAAAGGTCTGGAATTCAGAATTTGTCATACTATAGGTATTTTATACAGAGAAGAGAAGTGTGTTCATATAGCAGTAGTTCTTACTTATCAGTGGGAAACGTTTTGCAAAAACACCAGTGCATCCTGAGTATGACGATAAACTACATCCGGCAGCATAGCTTCTGATAGGAAGGTTTTGAGGAATGTTTGGTTTTCCCAAGTGACAAAAAGATAAACATATTTGGTTTGCAAGAGTGACAAAGCAGTGTATTTAGGCTTGGTTTGTAGGAGTCGAAAAGGTTGTGATAGGTATGGTTTGCATGAGAGACAAAATGTGGACAAGGTTTTGATTTGTGTGAGAGTCAAAGAAGTAGACAGAAGTATGGTTTGGTAGACAGAGGTTTGGTTTGGTAGACAGAGGTTTGGTTTGCATGTGTGTCAATAACATAGTCATGACTTTCGTTGTAACTTAAGTCTAAAAAGATAGACATAATCACAGTAAACGGTTGGCCTTTATTTTCAGCATTTCATCCCCAGTGCTCTGGGATGCAGTTGGCGTATTCTTGACCCTCAATCAATACGGAGTCTGAAATATTCTTGTTACTGTCGGATGAAATTTATAAATTCATTTTCTTCAAAGATATTTTCAGTAAATTAGACTATTGGGGTTGACGAACACTTTATCGCATTGAGACGATTAAAGCGCTTGTTGCGATTTTGCGAGGATTTAATTTCACAATAATATATGCTGACAGGTTGAAATATTTTCAGATTTACAATATTTTGATTTCTTATTCCTTTCGTATTTATTTCTTATCCGATTGTCTCTAGTTTCCTTTCTTTAAATAAATAATAAAATGACTGGCGTTAGGACGGAAAAGTTGGAAAATACAAAAAGAGAGAACATTCTATTATTATTTCTTGTACTGCAATTAGACGAACAATTTTCTGAGATTTCTCATGTTTTAATAGAAATTACGAGATGAAACATTCTTATTTTTTACTTTTAGATAATTAAATTTCAGCTGGTCTATTCTCCAGTCTTCTTCCGGTGTATTTCGTAACGGATAATTACAAAAAAAAAAAAAAAGCCTTCAACAGAATCCTTTAAGTCTTTCGCAATTATTTTTGGATTCTAATTAATAATGGAGGATTATTGGATTTTTTGTCGCTCGTAGCTGTTGGAGTAGGTTAGGGGGGGGAGAGAGACAGAGAGAGAGAGAGGGGGGAGAGGAGAGGAAAGAAAGAAAGAAAGAGAGAGAGACGAAAGAAAGATGGAGGAAGAAAGAATTAAATAAAGAAAGAGAGAGAAAGAAAGAGGGAAGAAAGAAAAGAAGAAAGAAAGTGAGAGCGAAATAAATAAATGGAGAAAAAGAAAGAAAGAAATAAAGAGGGAGAGAGAGAGAAAGAAAGAAAGAGAGAAATCAAGAAAGAAAGAGACAGAAAGAAATAAAGAAAGAAGGAAAAAAAGAAAGAAATAAAGAAAGAGAGAGAAAGAAAGAGAGAGAGAGAAAAATAAAGAGAGAGAGAGAAAGAAAGAAAGAGAGAGAAAGAAATAATGAGCGAAAGAAAGTGAGAGAAAGAAAGAAAGAAAGAAAGAGAGAAAAAGAAAGAAATAAAGAAAGAGAGAGAGAGAGAGCGAAAGAAAGAAAAACAGATTGAAAGAAATAAAGAAAGAAACAGAGCGAGAAAGAAAGAAAGAAAGAATGAGAGAGAGAGAAAGAAAGAAAGAATGAAAGAAAGAGAAAAAGAAAGAAATAGAGAGAGAAAGAAAGAGAGAAAAAGTGAGAGAAAGAAAGAGAGAGAGAGAGAGCGAAAGAAAGAGAGAAAGAAATAAAGAAAGAAAGAGATACATAAAGAAAGTGAGTGAAAGAAAGAAAGAGAGAATGAGAGAGAGAAAGAAAGAGAGACAGAAATAAAGAAAGAAATGAATAAGGAGAGAGAGAGAGAGAGAGAGAGAGAGAGAGAGAGAGAGAGAGAGAGATATTACCAAAGTAATGATTTTGATCAATGCTGCTTGATGATTAACAGATGAACTGAGGGGAAAAGAGCACCGGTTTCAACATTCACTTCGATAATAGAATGAAGATAATTTGCTACGAGTTCTTATCACTCAGTCAGTTCTTCAAACTATTAAACGAATTCTTTGGGTATCGCTTATAATCACATCGTTCATTTAATCAAATTTAAACCCTTCTTCATTGTAAGAAAAAAAAAAAAAACCTGAAAAATCTCTACCCCCCTCTCTCTCTTTCGTTTCCTTTGAACGTAAATAGTGGTTAGTATATCGATCAGCCTAGCTCCTTCCGTACACACTGAACCACATAAACAATACAATTCACAGGAATTCAGAATTAACTTGGGGACGCACAGCAGTTCTCTTCCTGTTGAAACAAAGAAAATTACTCTGTGAGAAAATCTAAGTTTTGTGGTTCTTCGGAGATCAAATATTTAGTCCGAAGATTTCACAGAAAAAGGTCTGGAATTCAGAATTTGTCATACTATAGGTATTTTATACAGAGAAGAGAAGTGTGTTCATATAGCAGTAGTTCTTACTTATCAGTGGGAAACGTTTTGCAAAAACACCAGCGCGTCCTGGGTATGACAATAAACTACATCCGGCAGCAAAGCTTCTGATAGGAAAGTTTTGAGGAACGTAGAACCACCTCTTAATTGCTGTTGTTCCCAGGTCCTTCCCGAATAGGGGTGGTAGCACCTGTTAGGGGTCCCAACTATGGGCAAATAGTTAACTCCCAAACTGGGATCAAAACACTATAAAATTATAGAAATAGATTTTTATGATAAAAATACCAGCAATACATTTGTGGAAAAAAAATTAAACCATATTCTATTCATACGAACCTATCACCAAAAAGCTTTTTAGCATTAAATAACCCATTGATGTGTTGATATCTCATGAAACAAAATAACCCAAACCAAAGTAGGAGAATGGAAGTCGGCTTTCAGAAAATCTCGAGAGGGTTTAGTACTGGTCTGCCTACGCAATGGTCACATGAGAATAACACATCTCTACTTGTTTTCAGACTTTGCTTTCTCAAGACAAAAATACTATAATATAAACAAGTATGAGCTCTTCGAAAAAGCAAAAATGGATGTTATAATTTCATTTCTTAAAATATATATACTAAAAATATAGACCAAATAAGAATGTCAATGAAACCAATTTCTCTACAAACTGTACACCTTAAAAGAATACATCAATGAAACCAAATTCTCTACAAATCCTCTTTATAAAAATATGCTAAAGAAATCTGATCTTCTAGAAATTGATTTCGTGGAAAGAATAAATATTCTTTTCATACAAATCTATCATAAAAATCTTGTTGGCATTAAATAGCCCATTCAGGTGTTGATATGCCGTAAAACAAAATAAACCAAACCAAAACAAAATAGCAGCAGATGAGAGAAACAGTGGAAACTACTGAATCTTTTTGATATACGTAATTTAAAGATATATTTATTGTGTAGAATTAAATGTCTTTATATAGTTTGTACTTATTTCTGGCTGGATACGTATTCATATTTTTAGCAACAAACTTTTCAGTAGAAATAATAATATTCTGCTTTGTTTGGTTGAGAAGAAAATAAATTTCTATTAAAAATTGGTACGTATTTTCTCTTTTATGGACGACACTCTGTTTGTAAAACATTAAGAAATCTTGTCTCTCAGACAAAATAGAAAACAGTAAACTCGATAAATGCTGGTTGATAAACTAAATACCAATAGAAAGTTATAGTTGTAGCTTATTTTGGTTAGATTAATATTTCAATGCTTATTTCTCCCATTCACTGGACGTGATGCTGAAATTTATAATTCTTTTCAGATCAAAGTATTTCCTTTAAATGTTTGTTCTTATTACAGGACAATTATCTTGAATCTTTTACGTGAAATGAGTGGATGCTTGAAAACCTTAAGAGGGGTTACCTGAAACTCATACGAATAGTTGTGCGATACAACTACGATCTTCAAACATTTAAATCATCAAATCCTATTCTTTCATATTCATCTCGTTAATGTTTTATTTCAGTTTCTTTCATTCTCAGTAACCTCTTTGTGTCTTAGTGGCTTTATTCCCTTGCTTATGGTGAAATTATTAAAAACGATACCTTTGTGTAGATTGACTATTATTATTACACCCGGAGCTTACGGCCATATCACATTGTAAAAACGGTTCTCATACGATCAGCGCAGTTAAGCAACGCTGAACCTGGTCAGTACCTAGATGGGTAACCACTTTGGAATATCATGTGCGGGTGATGTAATAGATTATGATTCAGAATTGTTCATCACAGAACCGAGTTCCAATTCCAGTCGAGTTCGTTATATTTACGTATATGCAAATAGTCATGGGTCAGGTACGAAGCCACTTCTTCTCAGCTATGGGTTAATTAATAGAACTTGTATCAGTAAAAATCTTTATCACCTTCAGAAACTATTACAATCTAAAAGTAATTCTTGGCATTATATAACTCGTAAAGGGTTGATAAGTCGTTAAAAACAGTCCATTAATATTATATTCCATACATTGACCGATTTCTTTTTAGTTTTACTCGACTGGTGAGAATTTTTCCATTTTTTAAACTAAGGTTCAAATTGTGAAATTTTCTCTTTTGATTTCTATGTCATTTTGAATTCTTATGGAAACATTAATGGCGGAAGTAGCCGCTTCCAAACAGGAAACAGAATAGAGCATTCACTGACCGAATATTTAGAGTGACTGTCGCTTAAAATTTACGGAATCTTTTACGTAAAAGCTTTTTTCAGTAACTTCAATTATGTGCCATGCGTGATACACGCTTAGGCAATCATGTATCTTTCGATACATTACTGACCAGGCAGATTCTTTCCCGCAGTAGGTTGCCATTTCTTTCTGCAGTAGACCAGTTGCCATCCAATGCTAGAGAACCCGGTCTGTTCCGCTATTTACCCATAGCTGGGGAAAGAAGAAAAGGATTCATAACTTTCCCAAGGGTATTAGCACGTAAGTGAATGTAATGACTGGAATTCGAACCCGGCTCTCCGATTCCTCAATCCGAGCCGTTATCCATCACTCCACCGTATTTCCTTAAATTCGTATTGGAAGGAATTTCCTTCCAAACATTTCGTCTAATGTAGTGTGGAAGGTCAACATCTTGATTATATCATTATTTTCTCTTTGAGTTACTTGTTCTACCTTATGAACAATTTCTCTTTTAATTGTAAAATAAATTTCAACTAATTACATCATCAGTGAATTTTTCGCAAAAAATAATTATTCGAGTGATTATTTCTTCAATTATGTTTCCAGTAATTAAAATTTTCTCCAATGTCTTGTCATTATTAGACATTTAATCTTTTAAACGAAAGTAGGCCCTTCTTCAGAAAATGTCAGCGTTCATAATTGCGTTCGTTCAACCACCCTGATCTGATATTCGTAGAAATGACGCTATGATTTGTTGGAAAATAAAACAACAAAATATGAGCGGGAAAAATAAGAAAATTATGCTAAGATGTTATGTAATATTAGTTCTCTTATATGGTACTAACTTCAGGATAATTTCCTCATTAATGAAGGTAATGGCGGTATGCTGAGAATACCATACGCCGAGGGACATGGAAGACTTAAGGAAAATCGTAACAAAATGAACACTTTTTACATTATTCGGACTATTGTCCTCATCTTTGTCGCCATGTTTATCACAACGTTTCGGCCTTTCAGTATCTTTCTATATTTCTGAGATGAGGTATTATGTATACTATTTACATTATTCAGACTATTGTCCTCATCTTTGTTGCCATATTTATTACAACGTTTCGGCCTTTCAGTATCTGTCTATATTTCTGAGATGAGGTATTATGTACACTATTTACATTATTCGGACTATTGTCCTCATCTTTGTCGCCATGTTTATCACAACGTTTCGGCCGTTGTACGCTCCGGCCTTCTTCAGGTGGCTGGAATGTCGAACTGAACCCTTTATTTCACTCACTGGGGTAGACTGTTCTAGTTCCACGTGCAATGTCTAATGAATGTCAGTTATCTCATGTTAATTCCCCAAGGACAGTGGATAAAGTCGTTAGCTAGATCCAGTGATAGGACCCAGAAAGTTCAATACCTGGTTAAGGCAGTGGAGAACTTTCAGAGGGGAATTAACAGGGAAATTAACGTTGTATTTAATTTTTTTTTCCACAGACAGGAAGTGCGAGAAAAGAAAAGAAACTGTTGGATTAGAAGTGATGGTTGCTATTTCAGTATTAAACGGGTGGGACCTAAATGCCAATCTAGTAGCACGTTTAGATTAATGTATTCTGGGCACCAGGGAAAAGAGCAGTTGCCATGAAATGAAGACAGAGGGAAGGCTCGTCACGTCGGTGAGAATGTGACTGAAGTTGAGATGCCAAGTCAGGATCAATTACGTTACAAATCTTTCTTTGGATTTTGTCAAGAACTTCGGGATGAATAGCAGGAGCACCAGACTAGATATGGCACCAGTATTAGTGGCATCAGTTTATAAGCCTCTGTGGAAATCGTTATTTCGAATGGAAGACTGAAATAATATAATGTTTATCTCATCTGGCCTTATGCCAGACACAACTAATTATCCTTCATGAAATTCTCGACAAACATTTTACTAAAGTTGATATCGGAATAAATTGCTTGTGAGCAAAGAAGCCTCAAACTTTGCAGATTTCCAATTTGTTTTCCTAACGCGTAAGCTCCAAATACATTGATGTCTTTCTTTTCTAATTGTTGCTTCTTTCTTCTGTGACACTCACCAGATCTAATATCCATCATTCTAAAAGCCACAGGTAGCAATTTACTAATAGACATCTTCCGGGTAAGTCTATCGGACGCCTCTGAGATGACCACTGATCCGTTGCGATAAATGGCGGGTTCAAAATGATTTAGAGCCGTACACGATGGACACGACGTGCCCTGCAATTAACGAATAACATAAATGCTCGAATCATTATGAGTTGTTTAGTATTGATTATTAATACACTAGGTTAAAATAAATTTGAAGTCGACGGAAGATAAAAAAAAAAATGAATCATTTGGCTCGACTAGACCTTCAATTCCAAATTTTGCTGTCAGGTATCTTCCTAAGATGGAATGTTGTCAGAAAACCCACAGAAAGGATTTGATTATGGGTAGTGAAGGCGGATGCAGCACCATCCACACTTTTTAGATCTAGTAAATAAGAGGGAAACGTTGCAGAAGATTGCAAAAGAAACGGTGAACAACAAGACCTCAGATTTTATTAGCCTCGGAGCTGAACCTCTCCGAAACAACCACCAATAATACAATACAGCGCCTTTCGACGGACCAAGCAGAAGGCATATATATATATATATATATATATATATATATATATATATATATATATAAAGATATGTTTGGTGGTACAAAATCTTATCACTGCCATGAATAGACAAAAATTAGTTTTATTATTACGACTCATGATAATAAAAAGTAAAAATGAAAAACAGGCTATTAACTGGTTTCATACCTCGCTCAACAGAGCTAAATCGAGATAAATAAAGTAAATTATATAAAAAAGAACAATGGACAAAATTTATTGGTGGGAGAAAAAAAAAATTAAATGGTAATTAGTTGGAGGCCTAATATAAAGTCCTTCTGTTTACAAAGAGCTTTTTATATATATATATATATATATATATATATATATATATATATATATAATACGCCAGTTAATAAAATTTGAGGAATAAAAAACGAACAAAATGATATCAATATTGTCAATAAAATTGATATTTATTATATAACTAGCAGTAGAACCCATATTCGGCCGGGTGTTTCGTTACTGGGACTTTTTGCCGGTCAATTGGACCAAATTATGTTTAAAGTCAGCCAAAAATCAATATTAGTAACAACAATTGGGTGCAACTGAGGCACCTCCCCAAATGGGGTGGGCGTTAACAATTTGAATGGGAGGGTGGCCCTGAAAAGAGACGTTTTTGTCTTGCAAGGTAGGAACCTCTTCCATGGACAGTCATAATAATAATACACAATATTTTTTATTTATAGTATAATTTTTTTATAATTCAAATAACCTTTTGCATTAGATTTCAACTCTCTAAATTGATTGTACGCTGTTTTTTACAGACATTAAATTTGGCCGTTGATTTTTGCGTAAAGTTTAAAAAATCAGTCTTTTTCGATTTTTCACCTTCAAGGTTGAAATTTTTTCAGCCAATTTGGCCTCTAAACCAGCACTGAAAAATTATCTATCAAACAAAAAAAAAAAAATTCATCGAGACCGGATGGAAACTGTGGAAACGCATAAACATCATCTGATCACGCACATACAAACACACACATACATACACACACATACATACACGCATACATACACACGCACACATTTTGAGAATTCTAGGTATAGATAAACTTTTGACTGAACTGAAGCACGATGAGATAAATTTTAATGGCGGAATTTTCGAACACGCCTGTGTTTTTTTCAACAATACGACAAATAAACAAAGCGGGCCTTACTCTTTTGAGGAATGTCGTTGTTGGTTAAAGGTCATCCTGTAGAAATTATGCTCTCTGAGTAAACCCAAATCCTTATTTAATGTCTAAATGTGTGAATTTATTTTGAAAATAAGTTTCAACTTCCATCTGCGTCTTTCTTCTCGGCTGTTGAATGAAGACGCTAAAAGCACGCATGTGATATCATCGACTCTATGAAATGCTGGGTTGAAGTGCACAGCGACAGTAAATTTGATGTTGTTCCTGACGTTTTTTTATGGTTATTGAATCGGAGACGGAATTCTGTTCCAATTTATCCAAAATAATTTCCCATTTTGCATTTGTAGCAGAAAAACATAAGAATTGAAAGATTTGAACTGTCACAATTTAGAGCCGGCTAATTGAATGCCAGGGGGTGCAAAATTGCTATCAGTGATAATATGTCTACAGATTTGGCATTAGGGTTTATTGCAGGTCATATTCCCTTGATGAGGTGGTGAATGATGTATAATGGATGATGTTAAGAGAGTGTGTAGTTTGGAGGGGTGATGACTCCTAGCATAATGTGGGTTTCGCTGAATATTTTTCTAATTGTTTGGTCGAGTTTTAAATACTGGAATTCTTTTGTTAAGATATGGACAAGCTTATGAATGTTGTAATTGAAATAAAATAAAAACATGGGAATACTGGAATTTTTCTTCTTTTTTCAGACATTGGGTATTTCTATTTTGTTTAGAAGTTTTAGTAATTGATTTTTTGTTAGGTTTAAGTGATTAATATTCGATTGTGAATTTAATGATGTGGTGGAAACTTTTGAGGTGTTTTTCAATGTCTTGGAGATAGTTCTCACCGTGTGTCCATATAAAGAACATATCTATGTATTTGTGGTAATGTAGGTGAACTAGGTGGTAACTACTCCACATATTTCCTTTCAGGTCATCCATGAATATGTTCGTATAGCTGGGCGCCATTATCTTTCCCATCGCTGTGCCTCTTACTTGAAGAAAATGGTGCCGACTAAACTCGAGATTTTTGTACATAAGTAAGAATTGTATAATTTTGGTGATATCTTGTTCGTTGCATACTTGAAAGACTCTGATAAGTAAAAAAAAATTACAGGCTAGTATTCCGTCCTTGTATGGGATGTTAGAATATAGGGATGTCACATCCATGGTCACTAAGAGTGAACTGTTTGGTAATCTAGGTTTTTCAGAACTCTTCAAAGATGTAAAGTAGCTTTTAATTAAATCGGAATTATGGAACTTGCCTATTAAATTTACATATTATAAGAATCATATGTGGTCCACCTTTCATTTTAATTATCTATCTATCTATCTATCTATCTATCTATCTATCTATATCTATATATATATATATAACTGAAAACTCTTCAATCAGCACCTGAACACTGCGTTGTGCATGAAACACAGAGTTGTGTTACTATTGCAGAAAAATGGATATTTATTATTATTATGTAATATATTGCTCAGTTATCTCCCTTTAACTCAACACTCCAAGTTTGTGTTCACTACTGCAGTAGCCAAGTATTGAACTCACAATTCTTTGGGTCAATATATATATATATATATATATATATATATATATATATATATATATATATATATAAATATAGTCTAAAGAAATATAGTCTATAAGGTGTGGAATAAAGTGCTCAATATCAGAGATAGAGCGTGTGTAAATATAAAAGTGAACATAGAAGTCAACACTTAGATACGACAGTCTGTTTCATGCTATATGCAATCGTCAGGCCATATATATATAACTTTATAAATGTAAGCAGATATACTCGTCCGGCAAAACCTTAGGTGTTTTAGCTTGTAAATGAGCAAAGTCATACCCAAGACACGAGTAAAGTAAAATAATTAACCAAACAAAGTGCTCAATATGCTAAGTCGAGCAAAATAAATAAATAAAGAGCCAGACTAACCTACCTAGGTTTTACCTACGTTAGTCTGGCTCTTTAAATCTATTACTATATATATATATATATATATATATATATATATATATATGAATAAAATGACAATAGGAAAACTGGTAATTGCTGACGCGTTTTCGTCCAATGTGGACTTTATCAAATTTATCAAAAATTGTCTTCCCTACTTAAATCAGAGAAATGTTCATATATATATATATATATATATATATATATATATATATATATATATATATATATGTTGAGATGTTGTGAGTTTCCCGCGTGTCGGTGTATGAATCAAGACAAACATAGTTGTAGAGGAAAATACTGGTATATTCATAAAAGCAATTAACAATAGAGTGATTAGTAGAACGAAGGTTGGTTAGTACGAAACAATATCCAAAGTCTATAGTCCAACGGTATGTACCGGGTAAGCTTATCTGGACTGCTGACGCCGGCGCTCTCTCTGACCCCAGAGCTGACTTATATAAGAGGGACCAGTCCATTACTAGTTAGAAGGTGGGTGCGCCCCAACATATATATATATATATATATATATATATATATATATATATAAAGAGAGACAGACAGACAGACAGGACAGTAGAAAAAACAATAAGATGGGAGAGTGCGAGATAGAAAATCGAAAATCATTAAGAGAGAAAGAGGGTAAAAAAGAAAGAAATGAACCCGGAGAGAGAAAAAGAGAGGACTGAAAAGTGAAAAGAGAAATGAGAAAATGAAAGAAGGAAGACCCAGTGAGAAATTAGAAAGAAAAGAAATGTAGCTGGCGAGAGAGAGACAAAGTGAAAGAGAAAGAGAGAAGAAGAAATCATATATATATATATATATATATATATATATATATATATATATATATATATATATATAGGGAGAGAGAGAGAGAGAGAGTTAGAGATAGAGAGAGATTAATTAAATACCTCCAAATGGAGAAGTAGAGAAGAAAATTTCAGGAGAACAATAATGATTAATGAGAAAGAGAAGTAAAACGAGAAAGAAAGAGAGATACAGAAAGATTTGATGAAGAAAAAGAAGAAAGAAGATGTGGAAGTAAAAGGGAGAAGGAGAGGGAATGGAGAAGACTAAAAACGAAAGACAGAAAATGTGAAAATAGTTCCGTAGCAGGAACAGCATAAAAAGATTGAATAGCCAAAAAAGAATTAAATTATCCATGTTTATTCAAAGGATTATCTTCCCTTAGCACGGACAGCAGAATGTCCAGTTCTGGACGTTGAATAGCAGTCTAACAAACACACCTGAATATGGCTAGAAAATATAGTATCAGTCTTAATATACATTAAGTATAGTATAGAGATGATGAAAAATTCCCAGACTAAGT